TGACTGCTTGATTATGGTATTGATAAATTAGTCGCTATTTTATATTTACATTTTATATTAATACAGTCAGTTACAAATTTCTTCTTTGCTGTGGATTGATCTATTATTTTTCCCCTAACATTGATATGCACATCATTGTAAGAAGGAAGAAATATAAATAAGGATTTCTCTCCATCTAATTACTTTAATTGATTTGTGCTGAAATAGTTGACCTTTAGTACTAGGTTCTCCCTTCACATTTAGAATTGATAGCTTACTCTGATGATCATCAGCCACTGGGAAAATAAGTTAAGATTTCAATTAAAACCACACAGTGTAGGCTAATCTGTGGATCTCACATTAGTAATGCTCTGTGCTTCCCTGCTAGAGAATATGTATCATGTTTGGGCTGAAAAATATTATATGGAAAGCACTTGAAGAAGTACAACAGTGAAGTTTATCTAAAAATTGACAAACTAAACTGACATAGTAATCTTAGAGCACATGTTCATACATGTTAACAAATTACACCTAGTCAATAGCACCCCTCTTTCTGGTCAAAGATCACAAGGTATTTAAAATAAGCTAATTCTTGCACTGTATTTCTTGGGTGGCATGAGAGTAATGATGCCCTCAGCTATGTACATTGTTTGCTTTAAGTCTCATTTTTCAGGAAAATCTGTCCTAAAACTCTTTTTTATTAGACAAACAGGCAGAAACAATCCACACTTGGGTAAAGTGTCAGACACACCTGTGGTCATTAAGAGTGTAAAAAACCAGAATGTTGAACTAGATGGAATATGCTAATTAATAAGGGTCTGTTGCTGTTCTCTGGAGTTAAATTTTTCTTCAATAAGATCATTAGAAAAGTCTTCAAAATGTTTTATATTTTTTATGTCTAAAGAGCCTTTTTCATTACATGACTTCACTGAATTTCAAAAAAAGGTGCAAAGCACTCACTGAACATAACAACTGTGAAGCCTATGCTATTGTAGAAACACACTAGCTCATTTTATTCTGTGTACTACATTAGCATGCTTTAAAAAGAGACAACATTAAGTGTTTCAATAGAAAAAATATGACAATAAACTCAAAGCACTTTTCTCAGTTCAAAACCGCTTTACTTTGGACAAATGTTGTTCCATAATTGGAATATATTATTACTTTTATTATTTGTATTACTGAAGTCGGAAGCATTCTCTAGCAGAAGATGTTCTATATTAAAGTACATTTTGGTTGCTCTGGTGTATGTCATGTTGGATGCAAAGTGAGAATAATTGGGCAAATATTGAGTAATCTATTTGCTGAATTATGAGTATGAAGTGAAAGTAAGATGAAAAATAGATTGTTTTTTGAGTAGGAAAGGAAGCAATGAATATCTCTACAAAAGCATCTTTATATTATTCAAAATAATTCCTCATAAAAATTCATGACATTTAAATTAGCTCTAACAGTATAATATTCCAAAGATGTTGATTCAATTGCTAATAGCCGCTGGAAATATTCTTTACTATCTCTCAGTCAATGTTTTAACTCTTCAAATCACTTCGTCTTTGGTATTTTAAAGGAAAATAAAATATATCCCTAATTATTTTTTCCCATGTCTGTCTATAACATTCAATGTTCTTAAGTTTGGTGCCTTGTATGACCAGATTTCTAAGAAAAAGACAAATTCTATAAAGTAAGAGTCTATTACAGATTTTCAAGTTAAATTATCATGTATCTTCCTTGAACAGCAGACTACTGCAAAGCTCAACAAAACAATTTTTGGATTGAAAGTTCAGAAAGACTTGGCAAGAATATTTCTTTCCCCAAAGAAAGACCACCTTGCAGATACAACTTTTCTCCACTTCTCATGATATCATATCCATGATGAAAAGGGCTGATGAAGCTCATCAACATATTTGCCTTGAGAACTTCCAGCTTCTAAGTCATCCTCCACTGCTTCTTTGGAAAGCAATTAAAATTCCTTGATTTTTCACTCCTTTGCAGAAGAACCAAATATTTTAACCAGGAAAGACACAAATTAAGTTTGACTGATTTATGATGAAAGAACAGGAGAAAAGGAGGTTCTAGGTGGACCTTATGACTCTCTACAGCTACTTGAAAGGAAGGAGGTGGTAGCAAAATCAGGGTTGGCCACTTCTCCCAGGCAACTAGACAGGACAAGAGGACATAACCACAAGCTGCACCAGAGAATGTTCAGACTGGACTTCATGAAAAATTGCTCTACTGGAAGGGTGGTTAAGCATTGGCATGGGACTCCCAGGGAGGTGGTGGAATCACTGTCTCTGGAGGTGTTCAAGAAATGACGAGACACAGGACTTAGTGCAATGGTCTAGTTCTTCTGACAGGTCAAGTGTTGGACTCTATGATCTCGGACGTCTTTTCCAACATTTATCAGTCTATAATTCTATGACTAAGACAACTGAGATCTGAAAAATTGAAATATTGACATCTTGCTTTCCATTCTGTGGCAAGAAGAAGCTGTTTATTGAGGCTGCCTATCATACCACATGCCATTTTTCTCTTCCTTTCTATTGCCTGTAAAGTGAGCCCAGCCTCACTACCTTACATGCAGACATCCAGAATCTAAATATTTAAAACAAGGTCCCCAGTGATCTCCAATGCAATGATATTGCATTGTCTAGTGCTTTGAGTGATAAGTGGGATACAATAACAACTTTAGAATAAAATCTCTCTCAGATAAACTAAACTACCATAGTGGGAAATGCACAGAAGAGGACCAGATGAACTAACCAGTTCTTGAGAAATCTACTGGCTTCCACTTTGTTCTGGGCTTTTTTTTTTCTGGGGTGTGTGTGTTTGCTTTGTTGGCTTTTAGTTGGAGTTTTTGATGTATTTCTTTTTGTTTGTTTTGGTGTTTTTCTGGGTCTAGTTTGGGTTCTTTTTTATTACAATTAATATAATTTCATCAGAAAAACATAATTTATTCACATTTTGTTGTGTTCTGCTAGTGATCCAATTCTCATAGTAGATGACCTGGATGGACACCTTATCAATACAGTTTTCTGCTACTCTTGTATTTCTCTCCCAGATTATTGCCAAGCTACGTCATTGAGCATTCTAAGAGGAAACCAATGTGCATGCACAGAACAGGGCAGAAAGTATATTTCTGTTTAAAAACTCGAGGAGCAGCACTGATGCAATCCAGTTTACAGAATGAATGTACATATTTCCGTAAGCTTGGAAGACTGAAAACTTCGACTGAAACAATGTAATTAAAAGTTACAGTGAAAAAAATGGGTTATAATTCTTAGTGACATTTGATTAAACATGCTAGCTTGCAAAAATACACAAATGAAGGTCACATTTGCAAGTATTATAAGACAGTCTACATTTTAATTAGATAGTTGAGAAATGTCAATGAGTTAGTAACTGACCAGGAGTCACTTACAGAAAAAAATAATAAAGGAAAACAAAACATCACACCAAAAGTCAAAATCCTTTACTCTCTATAAAGTTCAAACATTACAAAGACAGTTTTCAAAGAAATTTTGGTGTTGATTCTATGAATTTGCTTTGTCACTTTTCCCTGTTTAAAGAAAGAATGCATTTTGGTCAAATTACTATGTACCATTGTTTGAGCTTTATTTGATTATTATTATTATATTTATTTATTTGAGCTATGCTGTGCCTTTTAAAACAAACTATAAAATATAAAGGGATAGTATTTGTGGTTTATATTTGTACCCATGGACTGTACCCAAGGAACTTGAGTAAACATTTGCTGTCTTGTGATCTGCTTTCCCTCAGAGTCAGCTTTGCTCTCCCACAACAGCACACATGAAATACTATTGAATTTAACCTGACATAGACATTACAAATTACAGGAATACAATTATTTCACATTATCTTGGAATTCATATTTCTGTTTTTCTCCAAAAGCAAAAAAAAACCCTCAGTAATCAGTGGCAGACAAGTTCTCTATTACCTATGGCACTGTTGTTTTCCTTGTTGTCTTGAGTCTGACCAATCTGACTGAAGAGCAGCGTGTGCTGGAAATAATAAGAGATGCATGAATAATTTATTGAGTTAATACAGATTCATTAAAACATTGCCAAAACTATTTCATATCAGTTTGCTGTTGGAAGTCCATTACGAAAATGTGCACTGGAAATTAAAAAGAAATAGTCTATCTTAAAAGTGTCATGCCACTGTTGAAATTGGTATAAATCTGTTGGTTCTAATTCAAATAAATATGATGGCTAACCCAAATCATTGGTTTTATTGAGGCTGGTTTCTAGTTGCTTGATATCTTTACCATTTGGGCCTATATCTTCTTTATCTGTGTCTTCTTGTAGCTGAAAGAACTTTTGGATGTTTCATCCCAAATACTTAACTTATTTCTCAGAATGAGGCTAGGGAAAAAAAATGGATTGTGAAGCTCAAGTACAGCAGCATTTTGAGAACTACCCATAGTAGTTTTGATGAAATTTCTCAAGGATTTTTAGGGTAGACTGGTAAAGGAAAAAAGCACATTAGAGAGTAATATCTATTCTCCAGCACCTTAACTATGTACTTAAATAATGGAATATATACATTTATTCTCCCAAATCTCAGAAGTCTAATCAAAACTAAATTAAAGGAATAATTTTACTGTAAATAGTACTGCAGTAAAAATATATTCTAATTAAGTCACTGAAACTAGGCAGTTCAGAAGTCTAAATCTCTGAAGGTGAATGCTTGAATTAGGAAGTATGTTTTGTTTTCAGGTAAGTGTGTTTTCTGCTGTAGTTGTCAGTTAGGATCACAGGCTACAGAGTTTCAGTAAACAAAACAAGAAATATTTTCTTATGTATAATTTATTAACCATTTCCAGTTATGTTTTACAAGAGAAACTTTACTCAGATACAACATCCCAGGGAGCATGACAGAGCAACTGGAGTCAGGGTGAAATTTCACATTGATTGCTAATCCCAGCCAAAAAAAGCAATTATACCATAGAAGGTCAGAAAACAGATTACATAACACTATCATTACTGCAGGAACTTTTCACCATGTCAAGTGACTTTTGCATCCTTTCCTTCTCTTTCTTCCCATGGTATTTTGCATTCATGCCATCTGAGGTCTTGTTAGCTCTTTTGTTCTTTCAAACCCTGAAACTACCACTGCAGTAGTGCTCCTCGCTCCACGACATAACAAACAATAATAGTTTGGTTTTTTTTTTTCTTTTTAAGTGGGAGAACAATTGAAGTCTTCTTAACTTGATGAGGCAGCACAGAACAACTTCATTTCACAAAATTGCCTACACAAAACATTTCAGCAAAAATAAGTTATCAGAACTATTTCATTGTTGTTGAATCCTATTTACTAGAGTGGCTCACTGTGTTACATACACAAACAGGAGAGTCATAGCCTAAAAATGGCAAACATTACATGCTATGCCAATGTGAAGAGGATGTCTGGTTTCTAAATATTTATCACCAGAAGAGCTGACAGAACAGTGATCTTTTTCTTTCCAGACACTTCCAATTGTCCTCCAAAGGACCTGTTCTTCATAGGCAGTCTGGATCCCTTTGCTCTTCTTTATGAACATATTTTTTGAATGTTCTTCTCACCTCCTTAACACTATTGCATTTTCAGGACAATTGATTTCAATACTTCTGATTGGTTTGTTCCTGCAGGTTCTGAGTTATAGTTTTAATCTATTATAATGTAATTTATTTCCTTTATATTTGAAATTATACAGGGACCAAAATCTTGGCCATTATTCTTTATTTGTACACACTGAAATTTTAAATAGAGTCAGAAAAAGCAAAAAAGGGAACTTGAAGAGACAGCAGAGGAGGTTACTCTAGCATATGTGTTTCTGGGAAAGGCATTTGTGCATACAGATACTCTTGGACCATTTACCTAGACTGCTCGATGTGCAGAGTACTGCTGAATTGAGAGGCATACTTAGCTTCAGTCAGTGTTTCTGCTTTGCACATACAAAGTGAAGGAAAGCTGAGAAGCAAAAGCAGTGACCTGGAAGACACTTTTCCACTATGAGATAGAAATACAGGTTCATAGAAATATAATTAAAAACACTGAAAACTTCTGTTTCAATAGGTAAGAAATTTAATGACCATTTGATTCTTTCATTATGGTGAAGCTACAGGAAAATTTTCTTTGAGCTCTATGCTGCTACCCAATTCTTTTCAGAAGCTGAGTCTCTCATCAAGCCTGGGATGTTTCTGTCACTCCTTTTATAGATAAAACTTTTCTGCTTTTCTACTGCTTAACTAAACATTCTCTTGCAAAGTGATAGATTTTGTCTCTATTCAGTGTTCACTTCTTGTTGGTTTTTTTTATTTTTTCCAGAATATTCAGAAGCTGTTCCTGGTCTCCCCACATCATACGCTGCTATCCTAAGAATCAAATCTGGTAGTTCATCTTTAGCCTCATTTAACTCAAAGAACAGACCACGATTAAGCAGTCCTTCATTAGGAAGTGTATCTTCACCAGGCTGGAGAGGAGCTGCACAACATTATCACTCCCCAACAAACCTCTACCACTTTTCTGAGACCTTCAAACATGATGGTAAGTGTAGCTTCCCCCCTCCAAAACTTGGAAACATTTTTCAAAATCAATGCATTTTTATAAGCTTACTTCAGTATTTCTAAGTCATAATTTTGAGTTTTATTAAATGTCACAAAGTTGAAATGAGATACTTTCTTTTAGGTTCTTCAGAACTTCCTTAAAGTCATCAGTTAAAATACCCTTTCTTAAAGATTCCTATGCAGAATTGTTTTATGCAGGTGTTGGTACACGAAAATAACAAACCAGTGATTTGAAATTCCATTACAGCGTAATTTCGTCTAGTAGTAAAATCTAAGCCACTTTTTATGCTTTTTTTTTTTCTCCTTGGAATTTTTTTATTTAATCATGAATGCCAGTAATATAAATTAAACATGAAGAGTAAATCTTATAAGACTACTTTTTGTCTAAATTGTCTATTCTATGTAGTCAACTCTGTCATGCTTGTACTTATGTGTATGCTTGGATAGAGTTTCTGGTGTGGTACGGTGTCATCACTATAAATGCAATAAGTCATAGTAACAATACATATTTTTCCATGTTTAATTACATTTTGAAAAGCCACATTTCTAATGCCATTTCTTTAGTGACAATAATTACCTGAGTTGCATTCAAAAAAGATAGAAAGCCAGAAAGAAAGAAAGGAAGGAAGGAGAGGGTAAGGAGGGAGAGGGAGATTAGAGGATGCATAAGCATATTAGTCTAAGGATGTAAAAGAGGAAAGAATTGTGATTAATAACTTGCATTTCAATGAAATTCACACAATATCATGAGTGTGATAACAGGTTATTTCTTCTCTCAGAAAAGTTGTCTTTTTTTTGTCTTGCATGTATTAAAAATTAATTGTGTATACATGTGGTTTTTGCAGAAAAATGGTTTGTATACAAGCATAAATATGTTCCCTGAATAAAGTTTGATCTAGAAAAGAAACAGTTTGATCCTGTCAGCAGATAAATTCTATTTGATACCATATCTGGAAGCGGGGCATGTTTCTAGATTTGTCCTTCCACTGTAATACTCTTTCAAGCAGTGATTAGAGTGAAGTCTGTTTTTCCCCATTCACCAGACACTGATAACTCCTCTCTGGCAACCTTTTAAGAGCAGGATAACATTAATGTCCATTATTAGAACTATAGTCTATTATCCTGATCTTCTACAGCATGAATGTCTAAAGACTGAAGGAGAAAGCAAAAAATACAGATTATTTGAATAATATAGTACAAGCTAGAACTAGAATTCCTGGACATCTCCAGAAAGCACAGTGAGATCATACCTCAGGGATGATCATCATACCATAGATATGATCTATGATTTAGGCCAGCAATCATGACTCTTCTCAAAATACTGGGGCCACATTGCAGCTCAGCAGTTGAGATTCATCAGTTTTTCAGGGTCAAGTGAAAAACCACTGACTGGAGACAAAGTTGTAAAAAGGCCATACCTCACAAGGCTTAATGAATAGAATATTTGACCAAGAAGAGAGGAACATCATTCTTCCAAAGACTACATAAAATAGTCTTAGGAGACTTATTTCACTTACAGGTCTTGGTATATCCAGCTGTGTAGACACTTGCAGAAATAGGTAAATCCGAGTCACCTGATAATATTTTAAAAGCCCTTGATTAACTGAAGTGTGTGCATAGCACAAGCATAGGTATGAGACAGTATGTAGAAAAGATCAGCATGTGACCAAGTAAGATAATCTGCATTGTCTAAGAGGACCTGGACACATCTGTTATGGCAGCTGAATGTAACTTATTTTCAAAACCCTTCTCCGTTTTTTGGGTTTTTTTTTCCATTTTTGCAGGTCTTGAAGTAAAGATATTCTAATTTTCATCCTATACCTGCTATATAATGATAGGGTTAAATAGTCACGTTTACCAGCCAAGACTTCCTAAATGAGGAAATGCTACAGCATCCTGTGGTAATGAGACACCACTTCTTCAAGTGAGAGGATATTTTTAGGAGGAGAGGAAACATGTTTTATATTATTATAATGGAGAATTTGCATAATTCAAACATCTAATATATGGCAAAAATTCAGGAGAGAAATTTGCCATCAAAAACACCCCAAAATACTTTTATTAGATGCTGAATTATACCAGTTATCAAGTGACTTCTCAAATGATTTCCCAGCAGACATGCTCAAACACCTGACATGGCTTGTAAGAAAGGTCCTTTTATACTGACTTGATGCCATTTCATTTGTAGTTTCAATTCAACATGTGTTTCCTGATACCTTAAATTAAGAGAACTGTGCTCTAGCTCACTGCTGACTTAAAACTATCTGGAATTACTTAGCGTAAACATGCAGCTAAGGCAATACAGTCCTTCTCTTCAAACTATTTTTAAATGTGTAAAGTCAGGACTAAAAAATGTGAATAGAAAGTATGAATTATTCATTAATACTTTTGAAGAATCATAAAACTGCAAACTCTTATATTTTCTTACTGTTCCAAAAACTTTTGGAATTGCTGCAGCAAAGATAATTGAACTTAACCTTGAATGAGGACTCTCTTTGTCCTTTTATCTTTGGTTTGACACATTTTACAAGAAAATGAAGAAGAGTCTGTGTCACAACTTAAAGTGTTTGAATCAATGAACCCCAAGATATGCAAGATCCAAATAATCTAATTTTTGCAAAATGAGAATTCCTGTTTCCCCACCATCTGCTAGATTCAGCACTTACCAGCCTGAATTATAGACACAAACTACTGGGTTTTTTTCCATTGCTAAAAAATATTTGACAATGTTGATTCATATGGCATGCACTTTAGATATTATAAGCTAAATTTAGAACAGATTTATTTGGTTTAGACCACAGAACAGAGAAGGCATTTTCAAGCAACAGTAAAATCTTGTATCATCTTGCTTAATAAGCAAATAAACATGTTTAAGAAAAGATAAATCTGAAAATATGAGAAAATAATTTAATCTTCTTTGCAGTATAAACTTAATGATGCACCTACTGTACAATGTTCCACCATGCATCACAATGGAATCAATGGATGTACCTTTAGGCACATGTATCAGCCTCAGCTTACCTCAAAAGGAGTCTCAAAGTTCCTCAACTTTTACGTTGACTGAAACACATTAAAAATTGAAATGTTTTTTTAGAAATGCATATGTTGTAAATATATATGTCTCTGCTTATATATATGCAAAACAATTATTGTAAATTTCAGCCACCTTTGTTAATTTTAAAATATGTTACACAGAGATTTAATCATTGGAATATATTTGCCTTGATGAATCTGTGGGCTTCTTTTTTATTATATTAAGGGAAATTTTGAAAATATGTAATATTTTGACATATGGTGATATTGAAATGGATAGTAATTTTCTTTCTTAGGTGTAAAGTTAAAAGACTATATCATAGGACCTGCTTGTAAAATAAATATTAGCACTGAAGTTAATACATTTTTCAGTGTTTAAAGTGAAAAATTTTGTTTTTTAAAAAACAACAAAATAACTTCTAGCTTTTATCTGGGGAAAGCAATAGGTTTCCATTTCAATCAGTGTAAATATACGTCTAAAATATTTCTGAATATACTGAACAGGTTAAACAGTCTATTTCCATAATAAAACAGGGAATCAGATGAACCTTTAAAATCACCTGAAGTTCATACAACAAGCATAAGCTGCAAACCAAGAAAGGAAAGAACGAAATTCAAAAACAAAGTTGATAGTGAGTAGCACCATAGTGTAATCCACCTTTACCAATAAGTATCTTTCACTTTGTAGGACCGATCTGAAATTAAATATCTTTGATTAATTTTAATTACTTCTTCTTATATATAGATTTCAGCAACATATATGGCCTTATCAACAACAATTTCTTCAGCCTTTCTAAGGTGTCCTGAACACATTAATACCTAGATTATTGGGATGTAGTTTGGTCTGTGTTGTGTCAAGCTTTTCTGGATAGGGCCTGTATGCAGAGTACAATCATCTGTATTTTAAGATGAAAGGTCTGTTAGTGACCCCTCATTTTAGGCTGCTTTAGAAGTTCTATCATTTCACATTCCTTGTGCAGCTTTTCTTTAGAAAATTCCTCCATCTCTACATGGGTTCAAGAAGTCTTTGAAACGTGGGCATGTAAAACAGAGCAACAGGAAATCATTCTTTCCTGTAAAAAGTGCTCCTAACGGGACATGAGCAGAGGAAAGAGAGAAGACCTGAAGGAATTCTTCCTTCTCCCATACATAAAAGCTGCCTGAGCTTATCCCCTCTCATAATGTGTCTGCTGTTTCTTCCCACCAGTGGCTCAGACTGAGAAGATGGCTCCACGACTGATTAGCCCAGTCATTTATCTTGGAGGGTACTTCTTTAGGAAAACATTTATAATAACCTCATTTCTTTTCTTCTTTAGAAGTACACCACTTAGAATTATCAGACACTAAAAGTAAGAGTGTCAGTGCAGCTCCAGTGCAGGAGTTTGAACAGGGTCATATTTCTTTCCTGCCCACCTCTGTGTTCCAGGAATTAATTCATTTTCTCAGTGTATTAATTGACCTGGAATTTTATCAACAATGGTGGCAAGAAAGCAACTGTTGAGGAATTACATTATTTCAGTTGGTATAGGATTTAAAGTACAGGTAACTTTATTCTCATCTACAGTTTGTTGTTATGATATCTACATTGCTAAGCAAGAAGAACAAAAGAACATCTGATTTTTTTTTTCTTCATCAGTAACTGAGGGACAGAATGAAAGTTTGAAGGAATGTCTGTAGATAAGAGAGAGAGAAACCATACTTTGGCTCATGTCTGAGTTGCAGAATACCAATTCCAGTTTATGGTTCCATGAGGATTTAAATACTTGGTACTAAGACATCACATGTTCCACAATTTTTTCAGTGCAGAAGTGCTGTAAGGAGAACACTGGGACTCAAAGAATATCGAAGCACTGCTCTGAAGTATATTTAAGAATTTTAAAGATTGATTTTTCTTATATTTTTGAATATTTTCCATATCCTTGCCTTTCTGGACAACATCAGTTTAAATAGTAAATCCTAATGAGATTACTTAGTGCTTTTAACTGCCTAGGTTGAAAATGGCAACTTAAACCTGTAAGGGGACCACAAACTGGCTGTTGCACTGCTGATTGCAGTGCATACCTGTATTCCCAAGACTCTTCGGTAAATCACTTTTCTTAAATAAGATAGTCCTTAAAGTAACCAGCATTCTGTATCTTATTTAGTAAAAGCCTCCACGGGGAACAGAAATATTTCCCTTGAGAATTTATAATAGTAAATTGAAATATATGCATGCTAACATGTGTGTTGAATATTCATTTAATTTTATGTTCTTGGTAAGTTAGAAAGAAAAAAATAAGGTGGGGAGCTCAAATCCTGCCATAGGCACTCACAAAGGAGTGTCCTTTGTGATTAATGATTAATGTGTTAATCCTGCTTAACAGCATGGGTCTCAGTTACCTGAAACATGGTTCCAAAGAAACCTGATGCCTTTGGATCCCTGAAGATCTCAGAAAACATACATGAGTATAAAAGAGAGTGTGTGTGTGTGTAAATATATAGCTTCTATATCCATATGTAAAAAGACACATACATAAATATAGTTAGAAAATGAGGGCAATAGGGATAATTCCAGGGATATTCCCCAAAAAGACCACACAAAGCAGAAGAGCCAGCCAATGGTTCATGAATCAGAGAATTTTATTTCAAAGTCACACAGAGGGGCTGGGTTGCTCCCCTCTCTGTGGCTTGAGGGGAGTCTCCAGCTCTCTGTGGGCCCATGGTGTGCTGCAGACTGGGGCTGGAGGTGCTTCCTTGTCCTTAGGTCAATGCCTGAGTTAAAAGCTGCAGAAATTTCTGTTTGAGTGGCTTAGGGAGATGATGAGTGTGCCATGGTCTGGTCCTGAACATAGTTTTGCTTCTTTTTCTTTTCTTTCCAGGAGTCCTAGACTGTGATATTATATTTTATCTACTGAGTCCCTCCTAGGGAGAAGATAAAATCGTTAATCTTCATTAATATACACCCTATCCATATGCCTACTAATCTGCATGAAATAGCATTTAAATCTAAAGCCATGATTTAGATTTGTTATCCTTAATTAATTCTTGGTTTTGTTAAACTTTAGCTCAATGTCAGTCCTGTTTATTTACACCTACATGCATTACTATTTTATTTTGTGCAATGCAAGAAGCAGGTGATGAAATTATAAGAAACAATCCACACACTATATTTGTACCAATATTTCCTTGTCTTAAAATAAGTTTTACCAGATTAATCCATTTCCCCCATGGCATTTTAAGATGCAATTCTCAAAATTTATTGCTGGAGTTATTTTAACTTCAATAGTATCAGTACATATCAGAAATCACCTATTGTGATTGTTTTGTTTGTGGTTTGTTTGTTTTTAATAATGTGGGTATTTGTTTCAGAACACACATTTCTGGCAATAAACCCAAGCAAAGCAATGCACCTCTACAGTAATATAAATATGCAAGACAGCAATCCACACTCCTTTACACAGTCCTACAAGTAGGGTTAATAAACTGGAAAATTATAGGAAAGAGAAACTACTAATTGCTGCTGCTATTTGCTGACTTTACAAATTGACAGGCTAATTATTTGAATCTATTCTAGCAGCAGCATAAACACCTGAAAATATAGGTATTTTCAAAATCTACATTTGAATAGTGTAAAAAGACAAAACTGAAGTGTGTAATAAGTATGTAGTCACTAAAAAGAAAGATTGAATAGCATAATGGGGTCTTATGTCATCTTTTTACTGTACAATATGAGAGTTGAGAAACCCCAAATGTAAGAATTTAAGGACATGGAAATTTTTATCTCAAAACTAGCATGCTATGACCTATGTCTTCCCACATTTCAGACTCCATGTCTTTTTTTCTGCACCAAGACTTGTAGCACCATGTACCTTTTCCTGTCTACCCAGATTTTCTGAGGCTATTAGCCTCAGATAATATGACAAAGGTTATTATTAACATGATAAAGTATAAAATTGGTATGACAAAATTTGCAGTTCCCAAAACCGTGAAGCCATATGTGGTTGAAGTTGTGAGGAGTTGGTAAAACAATGTAGTCAATAATGTTCAAGGCAGTGACCAAACCCATTCTTCAGGTGTATCTTTTTTACTTCAAGCTGCTGTTGGTAGGACATTATCTAAGAGTCTGGAGTAAGTCTAAAATTATTAAAATTTCACAGCCTTCTGGTGCACAGTGAGATTTTATTTGTTCAGACCAACATGATCAGGAATATTCTGCTTGCGACCTTTTACTTTTTTGAAGGCTTACACTTCTCACTTCAGAATATGAATGAACTGAAACTATGGACATGTTCTATGGGTCTATCTGGCTTTTCTAGTCCAGAAATGTAAATTCTTATCAAGATACAAGTACATGCCAGAATTAGACAAGACAGTGCCCAGGAAATGAAATGTCAGATTTAGCTATATATTATTTAATAACAGCTAGCATTTGCTGCCATTAATTTTCCAAGTGTTTTTTTTTCAACAACCCTTTGACAAAAAGGGGAAAATTGTGTATTACTTTTCTGTGACATAAGCTGCTGCAAGCAGTAGGAAATTTTTTGTTTACCTTGCTCTCTATAAACAGAGTTAATTCCTCTTAAATCTCTTGAGCTTCTCTCTCACTAAACTTCAGGCCAAAATATGGCTGATGAGAAAGCCATTCTTAGGCATAATAAACACTTAAATCATACTATGTGTTTTATTCTTCACTTAGTAATATTTCTTATATTTCTTCATCTTTTTTTTTTCCTTTTAATAATTATTTTTTAGTTCAACATCTAAAGTAATGCAACATGAAACTTTGGAAAACAAATATATTTATGTATACTTTAATCTCACATTATAAAATCTATAACACATATGCATTTTTTCAGCGTTCCTGAACTCTAGCACTTCTTTTTTTCACAGAAAGTGTTGATTATGGGCCGGTTTTTGTACAAGAGCCAGATGATATGATTTTTCCAACTGATTCTGAGGAAAAGAAAGTGTCTCTGAATTGTCAAGCACGGGGAAATCCTACTCCTACATACAGGTACCTGTTTTGCAATTTTTTTAGCTTTCAGAATATTAGCCACTGCAATCTTGCTGAGAGAATCAATGTATTTTGGTGAAAAACAACAGAAACAGCTCTCTGACACTAATGGTTTTCCTGACTGAATGTGTTTTGTGAGTCTGAATAAGTGAGAAACAGAATTGGCACTGATTAAAGGCAAAACAACATTTTAAATTTCAAATTATGTACTCTCTGCATCATTTCTATCCATGTGGAGAGACATCTTTTGTCCAGTTTATTGAATTGTGTCTGTAACAAATGACAAAACCAAATTGTTTAATTGTTTGGGGTTTTTTTTATTTCTAAATATCTTTAAAGCTACAAAATACTATCCCAGTATATGGGGAAGGCTACAAAGTATATGTGTACATTAGATATTGTGACTTGGCACTACAAAATACCGTGGCTGAGTCAAATCTGGTGTTTTTTCACTCAGAAGCCTACCATTTTATTCCTCTGCAGCCATCACCTGTTGCTTATTTTTCCAAGCAGACTTGTATGCCACAGTTATCCATTATTCAGGCCTGTGATGACACACCGGTGAGCCTCAGAGTGCAGTTTATTGATGGTGCACACTTGCAGGTGGCAGCAGTATGCTGCAGTCACCTTACTCATTTGCTGTCTCTGTCTCTGCTCATATTTTATGCAAATTACAAGCGATGTAAGAGGGCTGGGGGAACATATGGTTGGTTATTTTTTCCATATCCCTTTCATCTTTTCTCATAGAGCCATTCTTCAATTACAAAGGGAACATAAGGACTCCTACTGTGTTTTGTCATAGGTGGCAATCACCAATTCTGCATTTTGTCTTTTGTCTTTTACCCATATTTGACTTGTGGATTCTTCAGAATTCCGGTTGAATTTTCCTTAGAGTTATTTGAATCACAACTCTTGCATTTCAATAAGTTAAAGAAATCCAGAAGCAGTCCATCCTTAAGACATCCCTAACACAACAGAACTCAATCTGCCTCTTTGTAACATATGGACTTGTTAAATGGACTCGATGCAGGACACAAGGCCCCCTCCAAACAGCACAAGCATGACTAAAACATGTAACATGGGATTAGGAATCAATATCCAGAAATTCTCCAAACTAGAATAGTATGAATTCCTCACTATGTGGTATGAAAGATATGTTGCATTCTTCATTATTGACATTCCTTGTGTAATTTCTGTTACCTACTGGTGATCTGTTGATTTAAAAAAAAAGAAGAAAAAAAAGTATTTGTTCCAACACTGTAAAAGTACTCAGTCCATTAAACATAACCTGTGACTATGGGGAAAACACACAAATTCACCCCCAAAGGAAGAGAGTCCTTTATTCAGGTATTCAAGTATTCCTATATTCCCAGACCTCATTATTCTTGTAGATATTTTGTTTGTGGAGAACCTATGCCATCTCCTTTCTTTCTTCATCTAACCAGTTTTTTGCATTTTCCCGGTGGAATGCGATCAGTAAATACAGACTTTTGGCATATTTTGACTACAAAGAGCATAGGAGCTCTTTCTTCACAAGGAGCCACATGGAGTAAGCAAGAGGAAAGAAGGTTTCATACTCCTCAGTAGTCACTGAAGGTTTTCAAGATCCAGATGAACAAAACGCTTGATTATCTCATCTAGCTTCCATTTTCCACATAAGACTGGAGCAACATCCTTTCCAACCTGGGCTGCTTTATGATTTTTTGATATACATTTCTTTAGTTCTCCAGAGATTAATTAGTGTCAGTAGCCTCATAAATAAGCTTTCTTGACTGTTTTTCATGGAAGGAGAGATTTAGCTTAAAAGGCCTAATTCAAACAGCACAGTTTAACTTCTTCTATTGCTGCCACTTGTCTGCACAGCATTTGCAATTACCATTGCAAATTATCACAAAATTACCACAGCATTGCACATTACCATTCAAGGGAGGGACAAGAGGTAAAAATTACTCTATGAGGAAGATGCTATTCTCCAGGACAAATGTAGAGGGAATTTAGACTCACAAGATCTACAGATATACAAAGTTTTGAGTATGCCACTGCCCAACCACATTATCAAAGACTCTGGCCAGTTGCACTGGACTTTTATTTACGTGTGCTCTGAGGCTTGTGCTGCTAAGATTTTCACCCAAAACCAAAACACAGTATGTATTAATTAAAAGTTATATTAAAAGAACATTTAAAGCACTCAAAATTTCAATGCTATGTCTGCCTTTTTAAAATTAATTTCTTTAGTCTGGGTAATTTGTGACACAGTGCTCATGACTTGTTTGTAAATTCTTTTTTTTTTCTTGGACACGACTTTGTTTTAATAGAATGGAGAATGCTCACATCATTTCAGATGTTCTTTCTTTCAAAGAGCTTTGTTTCCCTTTGTCCAAACACTACCCTGAAATAACAATTTTAATTTATTGACTTTCAGTCGTTAAAGTATTTTGATGCATAATTTTAGGGAACAACTCCCTGAGATAAACGGATTCTGTGTGTTTAGCATTTTTGCAAATCATACTTTAGCATCAATAGTCAGAACCAGCACAATGAAGAAGATAACTGCAGTCCCTTTGATGAGGAATACAGACATTAACAGACTTCCTGTGTGATCTCACAGGTCAGCAGTGTTACTGAGCTACAGGCAGGTGTTGAATTCCCTGAGATGCCACTTAACTACAGAGCTTTCACTGATTGTGAAACACTGCATGTACTCTTTCACTTAGCACACACGTAAACTGGATAGTAATTTTTTTTGTCAGTATCATTTCCTGTTAGAAAAGGCAATTGAAAAAGTTTTCTGAAAAATTTTTTGTCTGCTTAAATCAGATTATAGTATTTTGAAATGTTATCTGTCACTTTTCTACAAGAAAAATTGCATCTGAGTTTTCCTGACAATCTGTGACCTTGGAAATTTTATATTTTGGGTTTCTGTCCTTCCAGATCAGTCAGGGTATCTAGAAAAAAAGTCACCCAATTCAGAGTTTCTTTTCCTATAACATGCATAGATTACGTGAGGGAAATATAATCCCTCGGGATGGACCCCAAGATCTAGAGGCAGGTAGCTATCAAGATCCAAAGTTTTGAGGCAGAATTCAAAGAACGTGTTTTTTAATTGAACTTAACTGAAAACGAAACAAAATGAAAAAAGCTAATTTAACTGAATTTTGTGGCAGTTCCCATTTGGAAATGCCAAAACATGCTTTTTTTTTGCTTTTTCCCTGTCAAAATTTCCATTCAAGATCAATTTCTTTTCCATTTTTTATTTCGCATATATAGAAAAGGAGATATTGATTAATTATAATAATATTAATTAATCAATTGTTCTAACTAAAAATTCATTTTCTTTTTACTTCTTATATGTATGAATCTATTTAAAAACTTAGTTAATCCTATGAAACTTCCTCTGCTGTCCTTTAAAATATAAATAAATTGTCAATGCTGTTTAATTTCTTACATTCAATGAGGCAGAGGTATTTTGCAATCAAAGTCCAATTGTGAAAAGAAGGGACAAATAATAGATTCACAGTTCATCCAAATTCTGACAATTCTGACCTTTGGATTAAGAAATAGTCACGGCTACTACAGCTGAATTCTGCTCTCTGTACCCCATTCACCATGAATGTTAACAAGACAGGGTGAATCGTTAATTATTTTGCTTTGTTAATGTTGCCTCTGGAGTCTAAATATTGCCAAGTTCTTCCAGTCTTTGCTGATCTCTGGCAAGCCTTACAAGTTCCTGGAAATTTCCCAAGCCAACTTTGAAGTTGCAGAATGACAGAGAAAGAGTAATGAAGGAAATATCTGGCCATTATAATAATTGTACCCTATCTGTTTACACTGCTTATCTCTTCTTTGCATTCTTCTTACAATTTAATGTAATTACACTTTGACAAGAAATCAAATCTAAAAGTCTTCATATGTGGATGTTATGCTTTAATTCAGAAACTGTAAACACAAACACACATATAAGAAGTTATTGCAGACTGGTGAAGTCTATTAATCTAACACACAAAATATTTTCTCTTGCAGCCAGTGGACTACTACAGGGTTTGTTGCTTTGGAGATGAGGTGGAGGCTTTTTGGGACAGGAAGGAAACCTCTTGCACAACTGAAAAATTATGAGACTCTTAGATTACTTCTGAAACCTCATAAAATAAGTTTTTATTTAGTAATTATTAAAACTTTGTCTCAATTGGACTAATTTCTGTGTTTCTTATAGCCCGGGATTTTTTCCATCTTATCTTTACTCCCACCCTTGATTTTACTACTCAGGCTTTTTATTTCACTCCCAAACACCCCCAAAACTTATCATTCCCTATTCAGACTGCTTATTTGATCTTAGTTTCCACGTACCTAGTGGCTCCAGGAACTACCCTTGGCCACCCAGCACTTAATTCCAGTCTTCTGTTCCAGTCTTTGAATTAAATGTATACTGATTCAGCTGATATTATTTTACCTTGTCTGTCGCCAAAATCCTATATTGCTTAAGGGCTTATGTACATCAATCTACCTCTCTGCTCCTCCCAGGTCTTGCTCTTTCTTCTTTTTAAATGAGGTGTCTCTGTTTCTTGGGCTGAGAAGATCAAATGCTGAAAGAATGGGGAAAAAAGTTTCTTGTTTGCATGCAGTGCAGATTCAGCTCTGCTACCTGTAAGCTCAGCTGGGCATAAGGCTTTAATGATAGAATATGAATTAAAACTTTGATTATCATAAGCACAGTAAAATTCCTATTTTTGACAAAAGGATGCATCTGCTATGCAGTTTTCAAGTCTTAAGCCTTTGTGAACATTAGTTTTTCGGAGGTAAAAATTAGAAAAAAAGAAGAGATTGTTATTTTCATTCAGCATAGGCAAAAGAAAGAATATCCTTTTTCTTCAGAGGTTGAAGATTGGGTTTTGCTTGTGTTTTTTGTTTTCAAGTTTTCCCAGAGTAACGGGTTCCTGCACAGGATATATTTGAATAGTTGTCCTTGTTGCTACAACTGGAGTTGTCAGATTCTGTGTCCTAAGCTTCATCCCTTCACATGGCTTTTAAATGCTCTAGCAGTTTTTGTTTGCTTTTTCTTTTCCCTAAGATGGCTTCGAAATGGAACTGAAATCGACATTGAAAGTGATTATCGCTTCAGTTTAATAGAAGGAAGTTTGATCATCAACAACCCCAGTGAAATGAAAGATTCTGGACAGTATCAATGTTTAACTACCAACATGTTTGGCAGTATTTTAAGCAGAGAGGCTGTTCTTCAGTTTGCATGTGAGTAACATTTTTTTTTTAATCTTGATAAATCAGACATTTACTTGCTTGATAAGGCACTAAATTGTAATTTGTATATGTTACACAAGTGACACTGACATTGTTGGGCTAGAATTTCAAAATTAGAAATAAAATACTTAGTAGAAGAGAGTGATTTTCTGTAGACCTGCTACTTTTAAAATTGAATCATCAGGGAAAATAACTCTCGTACATGATCTCAAATGCTGTAATTTAATGGCATACTTGAATATTCTGTAGTATTATATTTCACTCATTACTAGTTTCCTGAAACTTTTCCTGAAACATCATTTTGTCACACTCTCTGAGTAGGAAAGAAAGAACTGTAAACTTAGGAAAATAATGAGACGAAGTGCCTATATATCTCTTGGATACTCTGCACCTCTATTTTTTAATGTATATATGCATGTAAATATATATGGTTTACGTCCTTGTTTTTGCATAGGTATTCAATGTACTTTCATACATTATAAAACTGAAGGGGTTTTTATAGTTGCTAATGGAAACCAAAAATGCCTTAGCTTTTGAAATCATTCACTGCAATATACTTTTCAGAAGCTATCAATACTTCATGATCTCAAGTAAAAGCTATGGTCTATCAATAGCATACTCTGTTTCAAAAATCCTAGTAGGAAAAACAGGGCCAGGATTTTTCTTCAACCCTAATTTCCCTTCAACACTTTACAGGAGGGCATCCAACATCATTTTATTAGTTTATCTAGATAAATCCTACCATGGGTGGTTTTTAAGAGGAGTGACAAAAGCATTCCATCCCAGTTTCTCAGATCCCGCTGAAAATAAGACATTACCATGAATCATGAGGCAGATCCTCATTTAGCCACAGCTGGAACAATGGGTTTAAGGAGAAGTTGCCATCTGCATGTCTACTAACACAACTGGTGTTGTCAAGAACTCAACAAATCTAGTTTGAGGTCTGATCCTCCCTTAATCCACCCTGGTCTAGTCAGACCTTCTAAATTTATTGCTTATCTGCTGCAAATTCCATCAAGGTGTTTGTTAGGAGATCATGGCACTCTCTGAGCTGAGGAGAATAATGACATTTGTCAAAGTTTGCTCATGCCAGAGCAGCATGTTTAAAACTCTAAGCACCACAAGAGTATCATGGTATTATTACTGGACTTCAGTCTTAAATGTAGTTTCTGAGAAAATTCGGTTACATTTTATTTTTTAGACAAGAAAACTATCCTACAACAAATATCTTGGTTAGACAACCCAACCACTGGTAAAAACACATAGTTCCAGACATCTGAACCTCAGATTTCTGTTTCCATCTCAAGAGTAAAGCTAAGAGGTGGCTATTTAACCTCCTAAAAAAAAAAAAAAAAGTACAGGGAAAGTGAGAGCAGGAGCTCAAACAGCAGAAGACCTATGAATTTCAATAGCTGCATCCACAGTTCATTCAGGCATCCATGTACTTATAATATTACCTCTTCCAATAAAACAAATTTAGATAAAGTAAGAAAAAAAAAAAGAGATTTGGTTTAGTGGGTTTATTATCATTGGATTTTTAAGTTTGTGTTACCTTACACACCTACTTTTGCAGGTGTCAAAATTATTACAGTTTAATATCTGGAATGCGATTTTGTTCATTAAAGTATTTGGAAACTGTAATGAAAGTTTCTTAGGAAAGTTTAATGGCAGGATGCAATTTGGAAGTGCTGAGGTGTAGTAAATAATGCTGCAGGAGTTGCAAGAGAAAAAAGGCTGTTTTAAGGATATAAAAATATTTTCAAAAAGTTAGAGTAATAAATAATTAAAATTATTTTAGAAGGTTGTGAGAAACTTGTTCACAAGACCAATTTCAAGTTCAATGTGTATTTGTAGCTCAATTTCTATGTAGCATGATGCTCTCTCTTACACTTCTGTTATAATGCTTCTTCAATTGCCTAATCTTAAATGGTTGGTGTTAATGTTGAAATAATATTTGCATTATGCAGCATCTCAGATTTTAATATTGTTTAAATTAATTGAAGTTTAATGATGTCATCACACTGTAAACTCATATTAGCATATCAGAAGCTTGTATCAGTGAAAAGTTGTTGTAAGTCAGATCCAAGGGTCACCTCTTCTAGTCCCTCACCACTTTTATAGTGAAGTATTTCTTGTTAACAGGTGCCCCGCATGTGTCTAGATGGTTTCAGTAAGATAGAAAACAAAGCACTGGAATAGATTTTTTAAGGAAATGTCCTAACTTTAAAGTAATTAAAGTAATAGGTTCTCTACAGTTTTACTGGGCTCTAATAGCTTGAAGGGTAACCTGTAATTCCAAGGATAAACCCAGTAATTTCTGACTAAGAATTACAGAGCTACACATAACAGCCTTTATTTTCCCTTTAGTTGCTGAAAACCATGGATATGGATTCCAAAAGCTTAGAAACTTATGACTTTCGCAGAAAAAAAAAAAAAAAAAAAATTAGGTTCATGGAATTGTTTGAATGTGTGGATTGTACCTCTGTGGAAAATTCTTTGCAATTTGAAAGTTGTTCTTCTAATTAAAAACAGAAATGTCATGCAGCTCAAAAGGGAACAGGGACTGTCAACCAAGGCCTTTGACACATTCTTACAGAAAAAATGTGTACTCTAAGGTGCCTATGCAAAAAAATAATGAAACCCGAAAAAGGAGAGCATGTTTATCACTCTGTCTCTTAGTTCTCTCCCAATTCCACGGCCAAAAGTCCAGTTGCTATGGTTATTATCATGTAATTCAGTATTGGTGATACAATTGCAAATATAAATGCTTATGTACTGCATCATTTGCATATATGTGCACAGGTAAAATAGGAAATACTTTGAGATACATATATCTTGTCTTTGGATTTGAAAGAGGATATAAAGAGGTATAAAGTGAACTTTACCCTGCTTACGTTTAGAGATACAATACTTGAAATAGCCCACTTTATTACTGGCTATTTTTACAGAACAAAGTTGGAAAACCATGTATGCACAGTTAAAGGTCTGCTTGAAATTTTAAACTACCACAGAAAATACTTATGAGGATTTAAACTCAATAAAAATTCTCTTTTTTTTTCTTCTTGCATTTCCTATGATGTCTCATGCCCAAGGATATGCTGCTTTATGCTATTTTAAGAAAACAAGCCAACAACAAAACAAAGAAAACTATTGCATGCTGTAAATGAAATTAGAAGTATATTTTTTCAATAAAAACAAAACCTGATGCAAAATTGAAAAAAAATATATATTTCAATTTGACTAAGTCTACCTGCCTTAGTGCAAAATAACTGCATATTTTTGTATGTGGTTCCACAGTTTCTCTTTGGAACAGTATCCTAATAACTTTGGCTACAACAGCAGATGTATTTTGTGTTTACCTTTGCCTCATGTACAATCTCTATATTCCATTAAGTCACCAAAAAAAATTGCTTTTCCTTATCTGTGGATTATTCAAGTTTTCACAAGCCTACCATCTCAGTGATATTTACAGCCTGGGCTAAAAACCTGAAGAAGTGGTAGGGGAAAGCAACTTCTCACCTGTCATTTGTAGAACACCTCACCACAATTTTATTAATCCAATTGTCACTGACTTCTTTGTACCATTTCCTTTTTCTTTTAATAAGTCTGGCTTTTTTCCTTTAATCTACAGAGAAGGGTATTGATTAGATACGATTTAAATGTCCTTTTCCAAAGGATGATCTACAACGACTGACCAGTGATGTACAGAGTAAGAAGTCACCCGTGATGCAGACATTTAAATCAATAATTTCCTGAGGAGACAGCCTGCACACTGCCCATTCTATCACAGCACACTCTTGTCAGCCTTTTAATTGATTTCACCTAGTAAGAAATGAGTTTAATCATCTATGTTTCTTTCTTGCCATCATGATCCCTGGATACCTTGTTGGGTATATTTCATAATTTTCTAGCATTAATTTGTTAAGAGTTGATTTATTTAAACCCTCTAAATTTGAGAAAAGCCTTTGTTTCTCATGTTCATTTCAGAAAACACAGAATCTAAAAATTGCATTACAATAGTAACATTTTCTTCTAAATAATATAAATCCAAACAGTTTTAGGTACTATAAATGAAAAGTGATAACTGAAGTAAGAAAAGAAATCAAAATGCAAGTAGTTATTCTTTCAAAAATGCCCCTGATCATCCTGTAACAGACTTTTAAATTTCTGTCTGCTTTGCTCTGTAAGCATCACAGCTCTGTGAACAATGTTACTTTGTCAGGTAAGAATAGCTACATCTACAGCAGTGACTTGCTCTACAAAATTTTTTTTATTGTTTTCTTCCTTATCTCGATGTGCTCTCTTTAGAAAATATACGATTAAAAGACACCTGAAGACTATGTGTAAATGCCAGATAAAGTAAATATTACATAGAAATGTTCACATTTTATTAGTATATAATTTATTAATTGAAGAGTATCATTCAGTGAATCTGAAATGAATGTGAATTTTTCAAACTCTACCAACAGTTTCAGGTGTCGTTTTCAGCCAGTTTTCCACATAAATTTTCAAACTACTTGCACATAGCTACTTTAAAATTCTGCAAATCTAGCCCTTTATTTTATTAAGAGGATCAGAAAAAACGTTAATTGAAAGATATATATTCTTCATATAAAATGCCGAAAAAATTAAGTTTTCAGTCATATTAGAAGTCTGGAAAATGAAATTATTTTCATTTTAGCTGTGGTGATTCTTACTTCGTTGCTTATAGAAATATTCCCGCCTATATAACTAAGTTCAGTGGTACAAAATGCTAAGACCTTTGTCTCTAGTCTAAAAAAGCATTTCATCTTAAAGTATCTGCATAATCCTTTTGAAGTTGATGGGGTGATGTTCTTAAAATTCAGCACATGCTTAAACTCCTTGTTGTTAAACATGAAGCTTCCTGATGCAAGTTTTAAAACAATCTGTATGGATTTGTTGCCAGTGTCATTATGACAGACACATAATAGGTTTAATTAAGTCTTCTGTCATTCATTTCCTGATTCTTT